AAAATAATGATTATTTGAAATCAGATATTTATTCATGAATATAGAACATAGTAAAGTTAATCTTTACACTGTTATAAATTGTTATGTCAGTCTTATACAATTTATTATCCTTAGTTTATAATATCATCAGAATATTCAGGGATATACCGGGATATACAGGATTTAAAGGATATCAAGAACCTTTGATATCGATGTCCAATGTGGACAACTTTGAACGGTTTAATACCAAGCGCAGGTAAAGGGTGCGAGTAATTGACAATGATTAATATTATAAACCTGGGCTACGCCGGGGACTCCATGGCTAGAGTAATCCATTTAATAAACCTCTTCGCTCCTATATATAGATATAAATGTTAGCTATAGCTGACAAAACTATTATTTCTTTCATAAACCTCTTTGCTTCTATATATAGATATAAATGTTAGCTATAGCTGACAAAACTATTATTTCTTTAATAAACCTCTTTGCTCCTATATAAAGATATAAATGTTAGCTATAGCTGACAAAACTATTATTTCTTTAATAAACCTCTTTGCTTCTATATAAAGATATAAATGTTAGCTATAGCTGACAAAACTATTATTTCTCTAATAAACCTCTTTGCTCCTATATAAAGATATAAATGTTAGCTATAGCTGAAAAAACTAATTATTCCTATTTCCGATTAGTTTTTTAATTCCATGGGCAACGCCGGGCACTTTGGCTAGTGTATAACTATAATTTCAAAATAATTTAATAATTTATCCGCTAAATTCTTTACAGCTGCTTTTCCACTACATCTGCTATACCCGGCCGTTGAATCCGCTCTATAGGTCCGTTGGATCCTCTGAAACCAACTGATCTGGTATAATAGCTAAAATTGCTAGTTCCATGGATCCGAAAAGTCAGTGGAATCAACAGGATCCGATCTAGATCTGTAGAATTCGCTAAATCCATTGGATTTGCTAAATCCACTAGATCCGCTAAATCTGTTTTATCCGCTAAATCTGTTTTATCCACTGAATCCGCTTTATGCACGAGATCCGTTGGATCCACTTATTTTTTGTATCCGTTAGATCCGCCATGAGGGAGAATAGGAGTAGCGGAGTTTGGTTTCATGAAATATCTATGTATATAGTTGAATGTATATTTTATATATAATCCTGGAGACATGAATCCTCGACCCGCCCGCCACAAGGTTCCGTCAGACCCAGAGAAACAATCAAATCTCCTCCGGGGGGTTCCAGAGAACCCGGAGAAATACAAAACCCGGTGTAACCTTCTCATTCTATACTCATCCCTCATACTTCATCCTTCATTCTTCATTCTTCATTCTTCATTCTTCATTCGTCATTCTTCATTCTTCATTCTTCATTCTTCATTCTTTCATTCTTCATTCTTCATTCTTCATTCTTCATTCTTTATTCTTCTTTCTTTATTCTTTATCTTTCATTCTTCATTCTACATTCTTCATTCTTCATTCTTCATTCTTCATTTTTTATCTTTCTTTCTTCATTCTTCATTCTTCTTTCTTTATTATTCATTTTTTATTCTTCATTCTTCATTTTTTACCTTTCATTCTTCATTCTTCATATTTCATTCTTCATTCTTCATTCTTCATTCTTCATTCTTCATTCTTAATTCTTCATTCTTCTTTCTTTATTATTCATTCTTTATTCTATATTCTTTATCTTTCATTCTTCATTCTTCATTCTTCATTCTCCATTCTTCATTCTTCATTCTTCATTCTTCATTCTTCATTCTTCATTTTTCATTCTTCATTCTTCATTCTTCATTCTTCATTCTTCATTCTTCATTCTTCATTCTTCATTCTTCATTCTCCATTCTTCATTCTTCATTCTTCATTCTTCATTCTTCATTCTTCATTCATCATTCTTCATTCTTCATTCTTCATCCTTTCATTCTTCATTTTTCATTCTTCATTCTTCATTCTTCATTTTTCATTCTTCATTTTTCATTCTTAATCTTTCATACTTCATTCACCATTTTACTGTCGTTTGGACCCACCACCTCTTTACTTAAAATGGCACTGCACTGTTTTTTAACATTTATTTCTTTTATAATTTTAATCTTTTTAAATATTGGGTATTGGGTACAGACCATACAAATATTCTATTTTTTATATTCTTGTCATCATTCTCTTTTCTTCTTTTGTTTACTTTGGCACTGCACTGTAAACTGCTTCCACCCCCGCTCCCTTGAAAGTCCCTACCCCTGCCCCCTGGAAAATCCCCCTCCTTCTTCCTTAGTAACTCCCTACCCCCTGCCCCCTGGAAAACCCCCCTCCTCCCTCCTTAGTAACTCCCTATAATCCTGGCCCCCTGGAAAACCCCCCCTCCTCCATCCCTAGTAACTCCCTATCCCCTGCCCCCTGGAAAACCCCCCTCCTCCCTCCTTAGTAACTCCCTATAATCCTGATAATATTTGCACTTTCAAATATATATAAATGCAGGGTCAATCAGTTTTACACAAGGTGTCCCAATAAACCTGGGTTTTATATCTGAAAGTCGAAGAATTGCTTGGATTTTGGTCGTAGGTCTCTTATATGTCTTATTTGTAGCTTTACCATTGACAGAACAATAGGGTAATACCTGTATTTCCAACAAATAAATGCCATACAAATCAAAAACGACTTAAAAGTTGTACTAAGTGACCCAGCTTTGCTACTCCCATACTGAAAATTCATAATTTTTTTTCTAGCGCTGCATGTGGCGTATTTAAACTGAGGAGCAATAATGAAAGCTTTAACAATATTGTACACCATAAGGCCATCAGCAGAGGTCAATATGGTGTTATTTCTAAGAAATAAGCGGTTTAATGTTAACTTTTTTATTTCTGATTACCAAGAGAGGAGCTCGTATGCCGCAAAACACGCTTGGGTGGCGTTTGTTTACTTCTGCACTCCTCACAGTTATAACCAATATATTGCAGAACGATAGTACGATAATGGTCTCTGCACGCTCTCTCTTTAAACGTAAACCCGCCATGGTAAAAATAAACTGTACATATTAATCTCCCTATAATTCATTTGGTGTACTGCAACCTAGCTGTTTTAAAAGCTATAGGCTGTATACTGTACACAACTTGCTCTAGCAGCCTAAAATACGGGTCAGTACTTCAAATAAACCGGAGTTTTCAGTGTGACAGGAAAGACAGAATATAATTTTGCCTAATAAAGCTGAACTTTATGATTCACAGAGGCCTTATTCAAAATATGATATATTTTCTAAAGAATAAAAAAAATCTTTTCCACTTTTTACTAATTTCAAGAAAAAATGCGGGTCTTTATTGTTTTATTGATAAACATGGATTTCACTATAGGACTCTTCCCAGAATATGAGGTAAAAAGATTAAGAAAATTCTTTTCTGTCTGTGAAATTTTCTATCAAAGGGTTTTCTCTGTCAATGAAATGTCCTTTCTATGAAATGTCCTTTCTATGAAATTTCCTTTCTATGAAATGTCTTGTTTATGAAATGTCCTTTGTATGAAATGGCTTGTTTATGAAATGTCCTTTCTATGAAATGTCCTTCCTATGAAATGTCCTATTCTATGAAATATACTTTCTATAGAATGTCCTTTCTATTAAATGTCCTTTCTATAAAATGTCCTTTCTATGAAATGTCCTTTCTATGAAATGTCCTTTCTATGAAATATCCTTTCTATAGAATGTCCTTTCTATGAAATGACCTTTCTATGAAATGACTTTTCTATGAAATGTCCTTTCTATGAAATGTCCTTTCTATGAGAATGTCCTTTCTATGAAATGACCTTTCTATGAAATGACTTTTCTATGAAATGTCCTTTCTATGAAATGTCCTTTCTATGCAATGTCCTTTCTATGAAATGTCCTTTCTATGAAATGTCCTTTCTATGAAATGTCCTTTTATGAAATGTCCTTTCGATAAATTTCCTTTCTATGAAATGTCCTTTCTGTGTAATGCCCTATTAATGAAATGTCCTATTATCATATGAAATAACCTATCATCATATGAAATGTTCTATCGTTATATGGAATGTCCTTTCGTCATATGAAATGTCCTATCATCCTACGAAATGTTCTATCGTCATATAAAATGTCATATCTTCATATGAAAGGTCCTATCGTCATATGAAATGTCCTATCATCCTATGAAATGTCCTATTGTCATATGAAATGTCCTGTCGTCATATAGTATGGCTTATCGTCATATGAAATGTCCTATTGTCATATGAAATGTCCTTTTATGTAATGTTCCAACACCAGATTTCTGCATGATAATACAGACCAGACAACTGTCGTCTTTGTGCTTTCTTTTAATGAAGAAATGTCGTCATGAATTTTGAAATTTGTAATCGATATTACTGTTAAAGGACTAAAAATGTTTTAGGTAAATATCAGTTACAGATTACAAAAATCGTTAGTCGAGACATTTTATAATAAAAGGATAGAAAGAAGACGATAATCGCTCAACTCACAACAAAAGGGACTTGAGCAATTGTTGCTTTAGAAACAATGGAGAAATTATTAGAATTTCATAAAAAAAAAGGCAAAAGGAAGCTGGTGCATAACTAGTTATTATTTGTAGCTTGTTTATAATTAATAGTTTATTTTGTTTTTGTGCTAAATATATTTTTTTTTTTTTTGCCAAATATATTTTGTTTTTGTGCCAAATATATTTTGTTTGCTTTGCCAAATATATTTTGTTTTTGTGCCAAATATATTTTGTTTTTGTGCTAAATATATTTTGTTTTTTTATGGTTAATAATTAAATTGTAACTTTTATAATTATATTGATTAATAATTAAAGAATAGTGTCAAAAATTACTGGATTATTTACAATAAATTTGATGGCTTGATGATTAGATTGATTGATTGATGAAAATAAAATTGATCATTTAATATCCAATAGTCAAAGATTACCATGCAAAGATGTAGAGATTCAAAAACTATACTGTAACATATCTAGGTATTCTGTAATACTGTAATACATATATCTGTAATATGTAACATATCTGTATGTAATATATCTATCTGTAATATTGTAAAATATCTAGGTTTTCTGTAATACTGTAATATATCTAGGTCCTCTGTAACACTGGAAGCCTGGACGAGTTCCCTTCTTCTATACCAAATGTGACCCAGGAGCTAAGTGTAACAAACCAGAAGATAACTCGTCTTCCTAAATATGTAAATATATCATGACATGTTTCATGTAATTCATACCCTATACAATACTCTATATTCAATTCTATTCAAATTCAAATTATTTAAATTATTTTATATCTTGCATTTTACACACTTGATACTTGAAAGTCTATACAATGTAAGAATATTTCCTAGTTTTAAAAAGTTTTTTAAAAAAATATTTTTTTAAATTAACCAACAGCACAAGAAATATTTTCAGATTTTTTCCGTAACATTAATCCCGATATCCACCATTCAAAAGTTTCCAGCTCAGAGCTGAAAACTTCAGAATGAGATATCCTTAATCTTGATGGCTTAATCTGAGTATCCAATGTACACACTTTTGATTTTCTTCTTAATCTTCTTCTTTGGATATCTCCTACTGTATTAAAGTTACGTTTAATAACAAAAACAGATACAATGCTATATGGATTGGACTAATATCCGATTGAATTAAAGTCAGCTGTTTACAAGCCGGCTTTTAGAGCATTTAAGCAAATATAAAATTAATCATGTTAATATGAACTTATTAAAAGAAATATTTTATCACATTCTAGGACTATCATAAAAACGTTAATCTTAACAAACATTAATCCAAAACTTACATTTATTTAATCTATGTTTAGTTCAATTGATATGACACAATTAACACGTTTTCAAACGGTTTTTCAAAGGTTAAAGAGTACATCTTAACATGATACGCTGATTGGTTGAATTTTATACTTCTTTCTTGGATATCGAATGCGTATTAAAGTAATCTCGGGTTTAGTAAAACCAGGATTTTAAGCATTAATAGAAGAATAGATATAGAAGCCGTCACTAAATTCCCACGTTGTAAAGATTTAACTCTAAGAATGTCTAGTATAAGAATGTCTAGAATGCATAGATATGTATATCTATAATGCTAGAATGTCTAGAATGCATAGATATGTATATCTTTAATGCTAGAATGTCTAGAATGCTTTACTTTACCAGATTAAATATCTATAGTTTGATGAACAAATTTTCTGTTTTTACTATAATCTCCCTATCAGCTTCTAAATCGGCCCGATACAGTGTTTTATTCAGGCATTTCGGGGTCTGAAAATGATAAAAAAGATCACATTGGACCACAACAGGATATTCAATATAGAACCATTTGCATTTAAGGTAAATAAAAAAATTTAAACAAAAAAAAAGTCAAGATTATTGAGCTCAATTTAAAAAAACGTTTTTGAAAAAAAAATTGAGAAATTTGCGCAAAAAAACGCATTTCACCACGGCTAATATTATTCATTATGTTAAAATTAAAAACAAACAAATATCTTCATTTTCAATGCTAATATGTAACCTGTTGTTTTGTCGCTATTAGGTCAGATTTCGCTTACAGTCCCTTTAATATCTGTTTAATTCTTTACTATTTACTGTTTAGGGTTTGCATGATGTTGAAGAGATATCTCTAAGATGGAATCCTATTGAAACTATTCCTGGTTTCGCGTTTGCAGGCAAACATTTTTTTAAAGATTTAAAAAATTATTTTTGCTTTTTTCTTCACCTTTAAGGACCATGTTTATTGATGGTGAACTTTTATACAGTGAGGACTAGAAAAATTTTATACAATGAGAACTAGAAAACTTTTATACAATGAGAANAAATATATATGACAGCGCATGAGGAGTTGGGCCCGCGGAATAGGACCAACCCGAGCTGCAACGTCAACAGGTTACACACATGATAGATATAAACAGGTTCAAGTACTTGTATAAATCTTATTAAGTGTAGATTTTAGATACCAGTTCAATGCACGTATTTGTGGTTCCCAGATACCACAATGAGAACTAGAAAACTTTTATACAATGAGAACTAGAGAACTTTTATACAATGAGAACTAGAAAAATTTTATACAATGAGAACTAGAGAACTTTTATACAATAAGAACTAGAGAACTTTTATACAATAAGAACTAGAAAACTTTTATGCAGTGAGAACTAGAAAACTTTTATACAGTGAGGACTAGAAAACTTTTATACAGTGAGAACTAGAAAACTTTTATACAGTGAGAACAAGAAAACTTTTATACTGTGAGAACTAGAAAACTTTTATACAGTGAGAATAGAAAACTTTTATACAATGAGAACTAGAGAACTTTTATACAGTGAGAACTAGAAAACTTTTATACAGTGAGAACTAGAAAACTTTTATACAATGAGAACTAGACAACTTTTGTACAGTGAGAACTAGAAAACTCTGAAATAAAAAGACGACTTTTAGACTCAAAATAGTTTAAATAGTTACTTGTAAAACTATTTGTAAAAAAACACAAATACACAAAAATTGTGTTAATGCCGTCTTCCTATTCCATAGTTCTTACTCTAGTATAGCACTTTTCTACATTGCCTGAACTTTATTACAAAAGCGGAAACTTTTCATTTTTATCAATTAATTAATTAATTACACTTATCCAAGACCATATTTTGGTAAATTCTGATTGGTCCGACTTTTAGAGACATACAAAGAAGAAAAAATACAAAGACATATTAGTGTTTCCGATAAGACTAACAATTTAAAAGTTCTGAGCTGGGAACTTTAGAGTGGTGGATATCAGGATTAATGCTTAATTAATTATTAATCCTCTCTTTTTGCTAATCTCTAGACTAACATAATCTCGAGTTTATGTCTTGTCATGATGCCTCGTCAGATAACTACTGACGCGCATCAATGGAAAAGAGAAAAGGAGTGTATTGAGGACTAAAATTAAAAGTTTCCACAGTGGATATTGGATTAAGCAGTCAGTATTAAAGGTTATCCATTCTAAAGTTCCCAGCTCTGGACAAATATTATTTGTTTTCCTTCAGGAATCCGCAACGTGACCCACATCTACCTCGGATACAATAAGTAAGCAAAAAAATAATGGTTTTATTTGCCAAAAACAGATTTGAAAGAATTAGCTTAATTAGCAGATAAATATCATCTTTTTTCCTTCTACAAGCAAGATATATTTTTATAGAACTGTTTACAGAGATAGTTCTCATTGATAATTTTACCTTGTATTTATATTTTTGTAGAACTGTTTACATAGATAGTTCTCATTGATAATTTTACCTTGTATTTATATTTTTTCATTCTTCACAATAAATTACTTTTTAAACAGAAATATATTTTTTCTAGAATTAAGAGTATTTCTGGATATGCTTTCGCTGGTACCGAGCATATAGAGATTCTAGTAATCAACGACAATCCTATAAAGGTAATCAATAATACATATGTAATTAACCAAATCAACGACAATTCATTAAAGCTAATCGATATATATGTAATTTACTACAGTATTGATCATAAAATGTTGCTGTCAATTAAATAAATTATTGTTATCAACGACATCCTAAAAAGTAATGTAATTAACAACATTAGTTTTTTGTAAACAATTGTTATCAAAGACAATTTTAAAAAGTAAACAATTTAATATGAAATCAGCGACAATAACCAATCAACGACAATCATTTAAGGCAATCAATAATGTGTAATGAACGCCATTAGTTTGATGTAAATAATTGTTATCAAAGACAATTCTAAAAAGTAATCAATAATATGTAATCAGCGACAATAACCAATCAACGACAATCCGTTAAAGGCAATCAATAATATGAAATCAACAAATATATAACCAAAACTACTATACAAATAATCCGTAATATTTAATCAACGAAAATAATTATGTAAAAATTTTTATCAACAACAATCTTAAACAGTTAATCGATAATATGTAATCAACAAAAGTATTTATCTAAAACAATTTTTATCAACGACAGTTCTATAAATTATATGAAATTATATTCAATAACGTGCAATCAACGAAGTTAGTATTTTTAATGATGAAAACAATTGTTATCAACGACAGTGCATAATATGTCATCAAAGATAGTTCTATCCAAGGATGTAATGCAAGGAAAGTTATTTCAGAAGTGTACGCATCTTTTGTACTGCAGTTTACTGTCTCTGGGCGCTAATGTAAACACAAGACGGATGTCGAAGCCTGACATGGGATCCATCTTTTACATAAAAAATCAATGAAATATTCTGATCATAGGAAACTATTATGTGAATTATCAAAATTATCAAAATTTAATGCTTTTAACCTCGTATACTAAACGAACACTGATGCATCTATTCTTGTTTACAAACTCCGCCCAGAGAGAACTGGTTTCAATATGTACGCAGAGTATACGCGACAGCAATTAACTTTCCTTGAATTACACCCTTGGTTCTATCAATGATTAAAGAAATGTGTTATTAGGATAACAAAACCAAATTTTATTAGAATCACAGAAATCCTAATTTATGTCTAAACATGCTATCATAATGCTAAAAATTGACTCTGTTTTAAGATTGGTTGAATTGAAATTTAATTAATCTAGACGATTGAAAGCTATGCATTTGCTGGACTCAAGTATGTCAAATTCCTGCTTGTATCCTCGACAGTAAAGCAGTTACATCAGGTTATAAAGGGACTGTTAACGTATTTATAAGTCACCCTTCATTTAGAGTTGTGAATCAGGCATATAACCTTTTTAATAATGTCATTAAGAATTACGTGGACAGTCCATTTAATTAATTAAATTAATGCAACCCATAAATAAAACTACGTTTGCGAATATAATTTGATTTATGTACACTACAGACAAAAGGAATTCCCAATTCAGCAGAAAGACACTGTAGAATATTTTAGATTGTCCAGGAATAAATGTGATGTCATCCGTGTTGAGTTCACAATTAACACTAGTGTACACTCAACTTTTTCGGCTTTTGACCGAGAATTTAAGAGATATGCACTGACATCTCTATCCTCAATGATCAGTCAAAGGTTTTAAGGGTGCCGTTGTAAATCACGGATGTTTTCTTCAAATGAAAGGTCAATTTAAAATACGCGTACAGCCCCTTTTAAATGTACTGTCAACGTAATTATAATTTATTTAGTATTCATGCATAGTTTGCCCTAAAACATTTGCCTGAGAAACAACTCAGAAGAAATCTTTATTATTTTTGCTCAGAGAAAGAAAGAAAAAATAGGATCACTAAAAATTACTTTAACAGTACCTTTAACGATCCATAATTTAATAATTTAGGGTTAATTTTTAGTGGAAAAATATTGTTTAAGAAAAGATTTGTTAGGATGCTTTTAATGGTTTGGAATCTGTTGATCAGCTGAAGTTGGACTTTTTTAATCTGCGGACCACAAAACCCCATACTTTTAGAGGACTCACAAACTGCAGGTACTCAAAAGTGTGTTAATCACAGGGAATCCTTCTATTTATATAATATCTATTTCAGAGTGTTGACCATAGACAACTCAGATTTGGGATTGGTGGCCGAAGGTGCTTGGTCCGGCATTTTAAATGTTTCACAGGAAAACCTTCTTGTATCTTTTCAATCCTTTGCTTAAAAAATATTTATTTTAATTTCATGTATTTATTTTTTTTAAATCTAAGTATAAAGGTTTCCTGTAAAGGTTAACCTATTCAACAGCAAAATCGACCAGGGACAAATTTGCTCAATAATTTTTTTTAAATACATAGGACTGTCAACAAAATTAAATGTGTCATCAACAAATGGTAAACTTTTGAGTCATAAATTTCATCAGGAAATTAAAAAAAGGATTTAGTCCATTAAATAATGATAACTCTTTGATGGTACATTCTATTTGAGGAGTCACCTAAAAGTACATCAGAAATTTTATAAAATAAAATCTAGCTTTTGTGATAAATTTGCAATTTTGCATAATTAGATCGCAGACACATCACTGGCCACAGGATCTCAGGTTAATATAAATTCAAAATAATTAAAATTTATTATATTAAAAATCTAAAACTGTAAAATGTACAAACATAAATAAATTGTAAATGTAATAATGTAATTCATTAATTTTACTTTTTTATTTCCTGAACTCATAAAAAAATTGCCAAATGCACAAAAAACCCATAAAATCCACATCCACAAAAATAACAACGTTTCCTTCAAGTAGAAATATTTCTTGCTCGGTTTTTTTTCCTTGTGACAAAAAGTGGATTTAAGTGGGACGAAACAGTTTTTACAGGGATCAAAAATATATCTAAATTTTAGATTTTAAAGATTAGAACTATTAAAATTAAATTTTGTTTACAACTAAGGTTCATCATCTGAATTTGACCGGGAATCATATACTCTCCTTATCCCCTGATCTTCAGGTAAACAACAAAAAATAAAAATAAATTTGAAAAATCTATAAATTAGTTCTATTTAGAAAGTTTAAAAAAATAATTCCAGTCAAAATTATTTAAACTTAAAAAAAAACTTATAAATTACAATCATGATTAAATTGGGAATCAAACATTTTTAAATAAATTGTATTCAATTAAGAAAATGATTACGATGTGTTTACTGCTTATGAAACAAGACAAAAAGGCATTATGTAACATTGGTTCTAAGCGTAGTGCCATCGTAGTGCCCAAATCTATAATGTAGTACAAAATCCTAGTAAGTTGACAAAATATATCTAGCTACGGCAATAAAGATTTTGATAATTATCTTTTTAAAGATTGAGAAGTTTGTGACATATGGACTCAAATCTATTTACTTATCCAGGTATTAAACATTAACTTACAATTATTTTTCTTTCTTGTATGATATAGAGATTTTTTGTATTCAGGACTTTTTAGCTGCGGCAATCACTTTATCACAATATCATAACTTTAGTTTTTTATTTCCCTGAGCCCTGTTCTCTGGTTCTCACTGTGTATATCTAGCTTAGCCATTAAAATAGAATCCATTAATGCTCAGTACGAAAATTTGAAGAAAAATTATAAACTGATTCTAAAATGTAAAAATCAATAAGAACTTAAAGAATCGATGGGGATGTTTGCAGAAGTAATTTACTCTGAAAGGTTATGATACACGTAACACATTAAACAAAATTAACCAACATCCTTAGTCATGCTGTAACAAGGTTATAATGCAAGGAAAGTTAATTGTAGTTGCGTATACTCTGCGTACATATTGAAACCAGTTCTCTCTGGGCGGAATTTGTAAACAAGAATAGATGGCATCAGTGTTCGTTTAGTATCGGAGGAGGTTTAAAGCATTAAATTTTGATAATTTTGATAATTCACATAATAGTTTCCTATGAGCAGAATATTTCATTGATTTTTTATGTGCAAGATGGATCTCATGTCAGGCTGTGACATTTATCTTGTGTTTACTTTACCGCCCAGAGACATTACACTGCAGTACAAAAGGTGCCTACACCTTGCATTATAATCTTGCGTTGTACCAACCAGACGGAGTAATCTGTGACCTGCAGATATTTTGAATTAAAATAAAAATTGTATTTTCTGAACAGGAACCATATTCCCTGCACCTGTCATTTTGCTGTGCTCCAGGATCAGGTGAACTGCAGTCGTCGTCGTAAATATCAATACAATATAGACTTAACTTTCTTTTTTAATTTGATTCCTTTTAACAATATTTTTAACAGCAGAGACACAAAGAGAAGTTGTCAAATAACAACTATAGTAAACTTGTAATTTAAAAATGTTTGTTAGGGATCAAAGCAGTATTTCAGAAATGTAATGAACATGAACCCTATTCAATTTGCTACAAATATAGATTTAAATTTATTTAAAAACTCATTTAGTATGTAGCGCTGATAATAATTTTTTATGTTTCCACAGATGGCTGATATTATGGATTTATCAGTTCTACAGGCTGATAACTATTGTATAAGGTAAAATAAAATAAAAATCAGTCAACATTTATCTGATAATTAGCTCTATTATCTACTTTAAATATTTTCTTTGAAGTAGAAATGTAATCTACACAATTATTATGTATTTTTCGGCTAAATATAACTGACCCTCAGTTTTAGTAGTTACAAACCGATTCACAAGGTAAGGTACCCATTTAACTCCTAATGGATTAATTATGTGGAAGATATTGTTGATTTTCTCTCTTTAAACAAATCAAAATTCTATTAATATTCATCATCGTCTCTGCTGTGTAAATCCGCAATTCACTTGTACGAAGAATAACATGATAAGAAATTAACGAAGGATTCTGTTTTGAATCGGACATGCCACTCTATATATTGAGGGTCGCTTAGAAGTACATCTACATTAAATTTTAACTGTTTAGCCCCCAGGATGTGAGTGGAAAGAATCTAGCGCATATGAGTGCCACGTAAGTAAATGCAGGGTGTCCCAGAAACCGGGAAGTACAGGGTAACCCTCAAAGGATGACTTCAGTGACGACTGTACGGAATTTTTATTTAGTCATTTTTTAACATTCATAGTTTTTAAACTTGTTTCTTTCTTTGTCATATCATTTAATATGTATACCATTGAACAAATTTACGGACGGAATATCAAATTCATCCTTCAAGCTTTCATATTCAAAGAGTTAGAGGTCGTCATTACCGTGTCATTCTTGGTGAGTAACCCTGTAGGTTCAACTACGCACAACTGAGCTCTTCTTATAAAAATGTGCAACCAGTTATAATTTCTACGTTAACTTAAGTGACACCAGATTCAATATTTAATGAATGGCGAAAAGTGGTTGAACCAAGTAGACTAAGTTGAACCACATTCTTTGAATTTGAGCCGGAATACAAAAGAAAAGTGGCTCAACTTAGTCTACTTTGTTCAGCTACTAATTAATTTTGGCCTGAGAAACAGGAAACTTTGTAAAATTTAGCTCTTCAAGAAGCATTTAGAGCGGAATTAGTTATAAATTGAAAAAATAGCATTCTGTAATATAGAATAATTATCTCAAGTAAACAGCTTTAAAAAGCCACAAAATGCTATAAATCTGTTGAATTGAACTCTTAAGATCAAAAGTGTTACGCATTTATATCTTTTTGGGACACATTCTGTACCATAAAAATAGAAATATATTTTTAATTTTTTTAAATATAAAAACCCTTTTTATGTTTCCAGATGTTATAAAACAGGTTTAAAAAAGCAGAACTCTGTACAAACAACCCAGGAAAGGTAAATTATTTTATCATTAGAATTTTTATTAAATTAACAAATTTTTAAAAGATTAGAATCAGTAATTATAAAATAACATTGATATTAAACTACTAGTTCGGGAACCCAGCCTAGCATGGAAACTAAACTTTCTGTATAAATTTTAAACATAGATATTTTAAACCAAGCTATAAGAACATTCCCGTGGTTCGAACCAGCTCCCTATCAATTAGCGAAATGAGACAGCTATTTGATTTTATGTCCGTTTGAATGTCCGATCATAACTCATGAACCCCTTGACCGTCTTGCCTCCAATTTTGATTAGGAATTTCGGTAGAACCACAGGAATGTTCTTAACTTGGTTTTAAGATTATAAGTTGATTAGGTTGACTTTTATAAAGAAAACTTAGTTTCAGGACAAAGCTGGGGTTCCCAAGCGCGCTAGTAGATAATAAAGTAACTAATAGTAATCTTAAAACATAATTTTATTGTAAAAAATTTAGATCTTCTGAAGAAGATTCTAATCTGAAGAAAGGAAATATAGAGGACGATTCCCCAAGACAGATTGGAAGAAGAAACGAAAATGAGGATTTCTGGAAGAATTCAGAAGAAGATGAACATTATTTTAACAATGTTGATCATTTGAGATTTAACAAAATCCTCTTTTATTGGCTTATTTGCCATTGTTTAATTGGTAACATATTTACAGGAGGGACCGCCACAGATAGGTTGATTAAGTGAACGCCTAGTTATGGTGAGGGGGGGGGGGGGTTATTACTGTAATAATTAAAAGTCAAAGCTACTGAGAAAATGTTACTAAAACTAATACATGAAAGCTAAATGTTGTTTCTACAAAAATTATGCAACGTAAAATTAACTGTAACGAAGTACATGTTGTATATCGGAATATTTTAATATCAAAATCAAAAATAAAACAAATCATATAAACTTGAATACTGAAAATACATACAGTAAGAACAAGAAAACTGTGGAATAGGAAGACGACATTAAAGAAATCAACAATTCAGTGTATTTGATGTTGCTCCAGAGCAAATAGTCTTAATAGTAAATTATCAAATCACTTGTTAAGTAAAATGGGTCTGTTTACACTGCACAAATGCTGTTTCTCAAGTTCATTGAACTATTTTAAGATATAACCTGAGTCTAATAGTTGTCCTCTTATTCCAGAGTTATTAGGGTCTCAAAAAAAGTATTTTATAAGTACAAAAATTCTTCTTTTAATGGGTGAAATTGGGTTTTTAAGTAAAGTTTTACCGAATTTTAATGCAGGATCTTAATTAGTTTTTAAACCCTTTTTGTCGCGGTGCACTTCCTTAAAACAGATTTGAATTAAAATGTTACTGAAAATGTATCAAATAAATATAACTTTTTTTATAAAATGATTATGATTTATTTAGCATATAAAAATTTCTTTTTTTGACGGGCCTTTTAAAGAGATTGTTTTATCTTTTTGAGAATACACTTAAAATACCCTAATGTTTATATATTTATAGAACACAACAAGGCCTATCTTATCGCCGCCTCTAGGGCCAGAGTCAAACTGATATTTTCTGTCAAAGAACCCAGCTTTTTTTTAAATACAGTTAAAAGGCCCGTATACATGGTGATTTAATTCTATCAATGAGAAATAATGAAACAAAATGTTTGTTTGATTGATAAATTTGAAAATGATCTATAGCTAACAAGTGTATTAGTTTAATCTTGCTATAATTGACTGGATTAGTTTTTGAATGAAAGCAAACACAAGAATTTAATGTTTGCAACACATATCCTTCTCTCTCTATACCATGCTTTACCTCTTTATAATATGTAATTATCGACTTTTTAAAGATATTCTAAAGAACAAGTCTGTTTGTCAAACGAGGTTTTGCCACAAACTCATATTTTCTAATCCATATATTTGTTCAACCTAATGTTTATTTCTAACTAAGAATTCTGTTTGATCCAAATAAAAGTTTGAATTTTAACACCTTTCAACTACAGGATTTTATTTGTGGATATTGTTAATCTTGAACGCAGGGCATTCATGCATTACCATCACTAATTTACAGTGCTTCATATTGCATAAAGCTATAAAGTAATTATGTGCTTAAAGGGAAGGTTCGCCAAAAATTAAAGGATCGGTATATATAGACTGATCTGATCCCGAACTGAATTCGTTTTTTAATGCTGCTAATGGAGAGCTATAGCGTTCATATAAATTCACATAGTTGCATTATTCCACTCAGATCGTAAATAACTTATTTAAAATTAAAATCTAATATTCCAATATTACAACCTATAAATGTCGAATTCAATTCGATGCATTCGTATATAGTTGATATTTCATAATTTTGGAGATTTTGGCCCTCAATGAAAAAAATAATAATAATGTTATAAATATGAAATAGTTATCAAACTCGTACCAAATACCCCTGGCAATAGTGTGTTTTTGCTAATAATTTTCATAAAAAATCATATATATAAAGCCATTGACATGATTTTTATGTGATAAAAAATATTGATTTTACAGATATAAAATACATTTATTTCCTGTATTTCTAATTTAACTAAGACTACATTATTATTTGTTTTCATAAACTGTTTATTTTACTAAAACCAAAAATGTTAAAATAAATATTTTAAAAAATGTTCAATTTACAGCTTTTTATTTATTCCAATACCACCATTTTAAACATTGGAGAATTCTGTTTATGTAACACGCACCTCTGAACTCTCAGTAAAAGTAAATTCAACCTAAAGACTGACCTCGTCAACCTTGTTGCAACGGCTAGTCCTATTGAGTGTACGTGTCTGCTTTATTCACCCAATGTCCGGGCGATACAGTACAAACTGGGACTGGAAAGGTTGACCCGGCTCGGAAATTCAAATGTACTACGGCTGCCTGTGGTAAACTTTTCATTTTGCATCAGTCTCTAGAATGATCCATGATTGCTTAATGAGTGATCATGGCTAGGTGGTTTCGAGACAAAAAGGTCTAGAAATCTCCTCTCAATGGCTGTCTTCTTAACCTAAAAAGAAAAAGCATCAAATTCAAATTAAATTTCTGTATTTAGTTCTAAAATGTCGTCTCAGGATTTTGGTTTTCTTGAAGTGAAATAAATAGTTACAAAAACCTCAGGGAAATGTTATAATGATAATAATGATAAATTTGATAATAATAATAATAATAATAATAATAATAATAATAATAATAATAATAATAATAATAATAATAATAATAATAATGATAATAATAATAATAATGATTATCATGATTATCATAATTTAATTAGTAACGATCATATAAAAAAGATATTATGATCATACACGTGATATATAATCCTTTTTGTTAGAAAATTAATTCAATAATTATGCTTTACCTTTAAAAATGCTTTACCTTTAGGTACGGCTAGATGGCATTAAATAAAACAATCAAGCAAATAGAGCACATAAGTTCTCTTTCAACTAACATCTTATTGTTTCTATTTTCTTAAAAGGTCGTCCTTCCTAAATTGTATATTTTTCAAGGTTATACGGATATCTTGTGTTCACTGGGCGTGAAATTGTCTTACTGCATGATAAAATCAAGTATTGTCCTTTTGTCTTGATATTCTGATGAAATATTGTACATTGAGCTAAAAATTTTCGAGCATTTTCGTGAGGAATAGGTGCGTAACAATTGACGCAATGTAAGCCCAGTAGATATACTAGTCGGAACCTAATTGGTTAGAAAATGATTGGGCGAGTTCTGATTGGTCCAAATACTCTTAGCACCAGACGGAATGTTTTGTAGAGACAAGTTGCAACTTTAATACAAATTATTTATTTTTTCGTCAACTTTGCAGTTTTCAAAAAAATTACTAAAATCTTTTTAAAAATTCAAATTTTTGTATAATTTTTTTTATTAGATATTTGTTGCAGTCTCCCTCTCTGAATGTTAGACAGAAGCAGACCATTTTCATTCAATAGTGCTTAGCTCTGTTTCCTGTGTCCTAGTCCTGGCAGTCTTCTGCCTTGATATCTGCTGATCTAAGTTAAACAAGGTTAAAAATGAACCTAAGCAGCATACTTGTGACATCTTGTATTTATGGAATTATAAATATAACACTAGTGATGTCACAGAAAGACTATTATAAATCACTGGGCCTAAAGAAAGGTGCGTCAGCGAGAGATATTAAAAAAGCGTTCAGAAAACTTGCGCTAAAATACCATCCAGATAAAAGTGATGAACCTGAGGCTGAGCAGAGGTTTCTAGAGATTGCCGAGGCCTACGAGGTCCTGAGAGATCCTGTAAAACGATCCCAATACGATCAAATGGGACATAGTTCGTTTAACAAAGATAGTGGTTTTAAACCAGGAAACTTCAACTTTCAGGACCTTTTTAAGGATTTTGACGATCTTTTCAAAGATTTCGGTGATATGGAGGGTCATTTTAAATCCCATTTTGGAAACCATAAAATGCATCATGATGCTGCGGGGGGAAACTTTCAGTTTGCCCAGGATATTAATTTCGAGGATTTGTTCGAATCTCCATTCCTGCACATGAACGAGTACGATATGTTCGGCCACGATATGGAGGATGTTGCCCGGGTTAATCTCAAGGGACGGCGGGAACACAGCCAACGGTCAAAGCAATCCTGTAGAACGGTCACGCAACGAATAGGGAGCACGGTGACCACTTATACTCAATGTTCATGATAAATTACGGTCATGACCTTTTTATCTGTGATTGTTCATCTTATTTTACCAGGAAAAGATGATTAATAAGTCAGCCTAAAATTCATACAGAAAAGCTCCCAAGATTAGACGAATGTGATATATATAGTATTTATGGCACCATTTTGTTATAAAGTTTTTTCATTATGCCTTATTTTATTAGATGTTTTTTAAAACATCTTAATTATAAGTACTTTTTATAAGAGAAAAGATGTTTGTTCAAGGCTGTATTTAATTATCAGTGTTTTATTTTTTGTAGATTATATATATTTATATTTTTTTTCTATAATAAAAAAAATTATCTTGTATTTATTTTTTATTTATTTATTTCCTTCATTTTTAAAATACATAAACATGAAATTTAATTACTAACGTTGTACTTCAGAAAAAGTAGATTTGCCCGGAGCTCCTTATTTTGGTTGTCAATTTATTTTACTATTCCAGTTAGAAAATCAGTCATGTTTTTAGGAGTCATTCAAAAATAAACGTTTAGGGAACATTTGAACGTTTTGTTGACAGGAACTGAAATACAATTTAAACCTATCAAAGGTTTACACTGAGTCCCAACTTTATGAATTTGAGCCACGTCTCAAATCCCCTAAAAACCGGTTTCAATTGAGCGCCGGAGTAAATCATGAAACATTAAATACAATTTTAAGTGGAACTTACCATATTTAAGGAATTTAAGCCGTTGCTTAGATTTAAGCCAAGGCTTAAATTCTTAAAATTCGGCCTCTGGTCCACGGGGGGTTATCACATAATTAATTTTAGTATAATTTAAAGGAAAATGGTGTCTTAATTTAAAAACTTGAACATTGTACAATCATACAATTGATTAAGCCAATAAAGTCAAATATTTATAAAAACGGTAATGAAGAGATATTTTTGATAAATATTGATACCTTTATCTATACAGTATACAAATTCATACTTTGCTAAAGTTATTAATAATTCGTTTATACCAAGAAGTGTAGGATTACTATGATGGTAGTTCTTGAGTTCACAAAATTATGTTGACAAATTTATACTATCTTTACGAATATGTTTGGTAACAAAAAAATACTTTGGTTAACATTCGATATTTTAGATAGCAGATACTCCGGTTCGCAAATTGATATTTAGGACATTAGTCTCAATTAGATATTAACAATTATGGGTTAACAATTTGATGCTTTGGTTTAGAAATTGATATTTTGGTTAACTGAGAATTTTCTGATTTCCAGGTATATTTTGGGGAAGGTTGAACCAAATCAGATTAGAAATAAACGACGGAGACCACTTCTTCAGTAAATATATTTCGACATTTCTATGATGTCCTCATCAGTACTATAGGTTGGGGAGACACTGGTTAACAGAGATATTTTTTGAATTAACAGTTAGATGTTTTGGTTAACAAAGAGATATTTTGTTTATCGGAGATAATTTTTGGATTAACAGAGATTTTTTTGGTTATCAAAGAGATATTTTTGTTAACAGAGATATTTTAGTTAACAGAGAGATATTTTGGTTTACAAAGAGATATTTGGGTAAACAAAAAGATATTTTAGTTAACAGAAATATAGTTGGGTTAACAGAGAGATGTTTTGGTTTACAAAGAGATATATAGGTTATCTAGAAGATATTTTAGTTATCGGAGATATTTTTTGGATGAATAGAGATATTTTTTGGTTAATAAGAGATATTTTTTGGTTAATAAGAGATATTTTTGTTAGCAGAGGGATATTTTGTTTTACAATGAGATATTTGGATTATCAAAAAGATAATTTAGTTAACATAGATATATTTGGGTTAACAAAGAGATATTCGGGTTAACAGAGATATATTTGGGTTAACAAAGAGATATTCGGGTTAACAGCAAGATATTTTGGTTAAAAAATAAATGTTTTACTAACTAACGAAATATTCTAAGTTATGGGATGGTCCATGGTCAGAGATAAAAACGCTAAATTAGGAAAATAAGTTGGTTCGAAGAGCAACAAAAAAATAACGGTACATTTACTAGATCTTGAGAAAATAACGGTACATTTACTAGATCTTGAGAAAATAACGGTACATTTACTAGATCTTGAGAAAATAACGGTACATTTACTAGATCTTGAGAAAAACTTGGGCCCAAGCGGATTTAACAGTTCGGTCTATATCCTCGCTAGCGGTGACTTTTGATCACAATTTAACCTATTTTTCATACTTTATGTTGGCAAATGCGTTTTTAATAAAAAAATATGAAAGGCAATTCCGTAAGTTTTGAGATTGTTTGAAGTATAGACTGAATTTAATTGAAGATTGAATTTAAATATAAGAAACCCAACGCATCTCGCCCAGTTTTTTTAACCAAAAAAAAATAAGGAAATATGAAGGTGGATAGAGAATTATGACTAGAATTTTTAATTTGTTATCTCTATGATTGTAAAATATTTTATTTACTCCTAGAATTGAACTAATACCAGCTTTCACTATAGACGATTCCTCATTCCTCACTCCTCAGTTATACTCTGGTTATAAAACAGATAACATCTCTTAAGAATTCTTTCCAGTTTGTACAGAACTGTACAGAACTGTACAGAACTGTACAGAACTGTACAGAACTGTACGGAACTGTACAGAACTGTACGGAACTGTACGGAACTGTACAGAACTATACGGAACTGTACAGAACTGTTCAAAATCACATTTTTTAAATACAATTTTTTCCGTTTGTTATTAATCACTCATCAAGATTTTTGTGGCCGAGTTATATTTTAATTATATTTTAGTTTAAGCTAACAATCAATAAAACAATGTTTAATGGACAAACGTGATTAAAAGTGACGGTTTACTTGAACCAGGTTACAAAAGTTTACATTTCCGTGGATTTTAAAAAATATCTTGATTTAGCAAGAAGTTTTCCATTTTTTGAATACGTCGAGATCTTATTTTATGTCTTTTAGAAATATAATCAAATATCAAAACTTTTCTTTAAGGTTGAAAATTTCAGCCCCCAAAAAAATCATCTCGATTAATTCAAAATCTTAACTCTGAATCAGCGCACTGAATTCAAAATCTTAACTCTGAATCAGCGTACTGAATTCAAAATCTTAATTCTGAATCAGCGTACAGAATTCAAAATCTTTACTCTGAATCAGCGTACAGAATTCAAAATCTTAACTCTGAATCAGCGTACAAAATTCAAAATATTAACTCTGAATCAGCGTACAGAAATCAAAATCTTAACTCTGAATCAGCGTACAGAATTTAAAATCTTAACTCTGAATCAGCGTACAGAATTCAAAATCTTAATTCAGAATCAGCGTACAGAATTCAAAATCTGAATTCTTTTACTGCTCAGAAAATAAAATTTCAACTCTGTTTCGGTGTGCAGAAATAAAATCTTAATTCTGATTCAGATTACAGATTACAGATTACAGATATGAAAATCTTAACGATGTGATGTCCAGAAAATAAAATAGTTCTGGTTCAGTGTGCAGAGTTGAAAATAAATCTGAATTCTGGTTCGTGTGCAGAGTTGAAAATAAATCTGAATTCTGGTTCAGTGTTCAGAGTTGAAAATAAATCTGAATTCTGGTTCAGTGTGCAGAGTTGAAAATAAATCTGAATTCTGGTTCAGTGTGCAGAGTTAAAATAAATCTGAATTCTGGTTCTGTGTGCAGATATTAAAATCTCAAGTATCTAAATTTCCAATCGCAGACAATCGGACAATTAGGAATGTCCTTTAAATTTAAATTTACAAGTGAAAACTAATGAATTTAAGTTTCCTTAAGTGAAAACTAATAAATTTAAAACCTCATTTTACAAGTTGTTCTAAAAATTTTAGCTTTAGATATGGCATGGTTTTATAAATTACCTTCCATATTTATTATTATTAAGTATTGGATTTTTACAAATTTTTTCTGAAATACAAGCAGGGTGTCCCAAAAAACATCAGAAATAATAGACTTGAAAATAGTTTTTCATTTCCGATATTAAATGAATTAATTACAAAGAAATGATAAATTTGATAAATTGGAATCTTTACAAGTTTCTAGATATCTCCGCCAATTTTAAAGGTGGAAAAATGGTAGACCATATTTTGTAAATCCCAATAATAGCAGTTATTAGTGTTAAATGTTTAAGCTGGGAATTGTGTGTACAAAATCTGTGTCACGCGGAACAAAGATGACGAAGAATGCATTAATTAATTTACATGTTTATATGGGACACCCTGTACCCAGCTAGGTTATAGAAACTAGTTTATTGGGACGCCCTGTAGCCAGCTAGGTTATAGAAACTAGTTTATTGGGACACCCTGTATCCAGCTAGGTTATAGAAACTAGTTTATTGGGACACCCTGTAGCCAGCTAGGTTATAGAAACTAATTTATTGGGACACCCTGTATCCAGCTAGGTTTTAGAAACTAATTTATTGGGACACCCTGTAGCCAGCTAGGTTATAGAAACTAGTTTATTAGGACACCCTGTAGCCAGCTAGGCTAGGGACACCCTGTAGCCAGCTAGGATAGGGACACCCTGTAGCCAGCTAGGATATGGACACCCTGTAGCCAGATAGGTAATAGAAACTAGTTTAATTTTGCAACCTACGTGAAAGTGTATTTTAGGTAAACTGACAAGTGACAACCTTACAATGAATTAATTTACAATGACATTTTCCTAAAAATACGTCATTGGAAAATTACATTTTAGAACTCTTAATTTAGCCGTCATTGGAAATCTTATTTTTTTTAAATATTGGAAGCCATATTATATTACAGTGTGCAGATAAATAACAGCAAAATATTTGATGTCGATTTTTTATTTCAGATTTTTTAGATTTAAAGATGTGGAGAAGAACCTGCCTTTTTGANGCTAGAACTAGAGATACAGAATTATGCACCGAACAGATTTGTAACAGGTGTGTAGGACCTAAATAAAAACTGTGGAATAGGAAGACGACTGTCAAACTAAACTTATGATCTGAAATAGTCAAAAATAGCACAAAAACACAGCAATTGTGTGCATTTTGTTTTACAAGCTGATTTTGAAGCTAACGGTACTTGTATGCGATTCCATTAGCGCCTGATCCAATCAGGGTTCAGACATGTGTTTGGTGTCTATTCTTGACCAATAGTAATTGATTGGCAGCATCATCTATCTTTCTATCTATCTCATTATCCAGTTAGAGATGAATCCTTATATCGGGCCTTAACAGTAAATGGAAATATTTACTTCTACTGAAACTATAGTAATATACCGGTAAACTTTCAGCATCGAGAAAAACACCTAATTACAAATTTTTAAAATTTGGTAACTTTTAAAAAATGCATTTTGAGCAGAATTTTATTAACCTTCAAAAAAGCGCCTTGTAATTTGAAGGCCCCCCTCTATTCCAAAATGGGTATCCTCCGATTAACAATGATACACGATAAAACTCTGTTTGATGAAGATATCGTCGTTTTTTTTTTCTTTAATGGAGATGAATTTTTCCAATTTCTCTGTGTACAGTTGTCTATGAAATCTCATTATTTGTGATTAACTCTGTCTATTGTATGTAAGTGTTCTCTTGAATTTGAACCCCTTGGTTAAAACCTGTAATAAAACAGGATACAGGGTTCACTAAAAATATGAGACTCTGGAGACGACCGTACAACATTTATTAGGCCTCCGCGGCATGTATAATCTTGTTTCTTTCTTTGCCAAATCATCTAATATATGCCAATTAAAAGAATATATTTAAAACAGAAAACTTGATAGTTAGTTTCAAAGAGTTTAAGGTCGTCCTCACACCGGACTAACCAGAGTGAGCAGCATTCGGTTTCTTTTATTTGAAATCAAACGTGTTTTGGTCTTTAATTCAATAATCATTTACTTTACGGATTTGTTTATTTACTACATTTTCATTCAAAATGCATATGCCAACAAAAAAGTATTTAATAAGAAAGGCTAGCAAATTGTGTTTAATGGGTTAAATTGTGATCGAAAGTCACAGCTTTCTGGAATATTGACAGAACCGTTAAATCCGCGTGTCCTTGAAGTATAGTTTGTTGTGGGTAACCCTGTATATCCTGACAAGTGCCAAGTGTTGTGGATAACCCTGTATATCCTGACAAGGGCCAAGTGTTGTGGGTAACCCTGTATATCCTGACAAGGGCCAAGTGTTGTGGGTAACCCTGTATATCCTGACAAGTGCCAAGTGTTGTGGGTAACCCTGTATATCCTGACAAGTGCCAAGTGTTGTGGGTAACCCTGTATATCCTGACAAGGGCCAAGTGTTGTAAAAATATTAATCCTATTTTATTTCATCATTCTAAATTATATTCTTTTATCTATGGAATTATGTAAAAATATATAAAAATGATAATGATAATTTTTTTCTCTATTTTATTTGAAAATATAAAGATTAACACGATTACAGATCTAATATATGTGTTAGAAAAATTATAAAGAAAGCTAAGAAAATCATTAAGGTAACCAAAACAAATAAAAAAATTAATTTAATTTTAAAAACTTACGATTTTAAGAGCTAAATTTTTAGGGTTCGAATGCTGGCAATCAAGATTCAAGGTATCCATATCAGAAACTAATTATATCAACTATTTTTCACTTAAATCTAAAAGTTACATAAAATCAAACTTGTAAAAATTATAGATAATAATTTTGAAAAAAAATTACCATATTTTTTTTTCTCACAGGGCAGATGAAGAAGAGAAAACAGAAAATGAAGAACTAAGGTTAAGTAAACTTTTTAAAATGTCATTTTACATTTACCGCAACAAACTTTATTTTGAGACAAATTTACTTAGTTAAATTTATTATTAATAAATACTGTTATATTTATTTACATTGGTAAACAAGTTATTTTGATAATTTGCTAACTAATAGAACCGTCTTCTGTAGATGGAAGAATATCTTCTAGATGCTCGTTTTCCTTCTTCTCTTCTTTCTCTTCTTCTTCTCCGGCTGAGTAGAATTTCTCTTCTTCTTTGTCTTCTTTGTCTTCGTCCTTTTTTTCTTTTTTCTCTTTTACTTCTAGATCTTCAATTGTAAAGGTTTTACTATATTTATCCTCATCGTCATCTGAGCTGGCATATGCCGAAATTTTCTTACTGGCTGGTGTTTCTTTCTTTTCTTCTTCTGTGCTCTCTTTTCCATCTTTTCCTCTTGCTTGATCTTTATAACTCTTTTTCTCATTGTCAACCACTGTTTCTTCATCAACTTCTTTTTCATCGTCAACATCTTTTTTGTCATCAACTTATTTTTCATCGTCAACTTTTCATCAACTTCTTTTTCATCGTCAACATCTTTTTTGTCATCAACTTATTTTTCATCGTCAACTTCTTTTTCATCATCAACTTCTTTTTCATCGTCAACTTCTTTTTCATCATCAACTTCTTTTTCATCATCAACTTCTTTTTCATCGTCAACTTCTTTTTCATCATCAACTTCTTTTTCATCGTCAACTTCTTTTTCATCATCAACTTCTTTTTCATCGTCAACTTCTTTTACCTCATCAACTTCTTTTTCGTGATCAACTTTTTTTTCATCGTCAACTTCTTTATCATCGCCATCTTCTTTTTCTTCGACATCTTCTTTTTCATCATCAACTTCTTTCTCTTCATCATCTTCTGTCATTTCTTCTTCTTTATCTTCTTCTTCTTCTTCTTCTTCATCATCATCAGCCTTTCTTTCTTTTTTAGTTTCTTCATCTTTCAATATTTTTTTGACCTCAACATTAAAATTAATGTCGTCTGCCTGATCGAATTGGCACCATTTCTTGTGCAACTGTTCTTGAGCAGGGACCAAAACAGAGACTTTGTCGCATTCTGTTTCTGGGACCACTGCGCATTTCTGATAAGTCACAGAACAGCATTTAGTCGTGGTTTTAGATTTACACTTCTGGATCGGAGTAATAGTGCAATCAAACTCTATAGTTTTGAGAAGGGTGTAGAGTTGACCAGGTCTACAGGATAGTCCTCACAGTTCATAGTTGGGACCATAATAGGGACCTCCTTGGAAACCGGACTGCATTCCTCCCAGGTGATATCCTTGCAGTCTTCGTCGTTCCCCGCCCACACCTTGTCACCGTTCTCATCAAGCTCCCAGAGGGTCGTGCAGTGGGTCTTAGTCACGTTTTCGTACTCGTAGACCGTCATGGTGTGGAGCTCCCTCACCTCTTCCTTGATGCAGTTGTGGAGGGTGACGTTGGCGAGCTCAGGACTGGTTCTCAGTTCCTCTAGATCCACAGTGGTAAACTTGCAGTCAGGGACCAGGTTCACCTCACAGGACTGTTCACATACCTCCAAACAGTCCTTGGCAGTGATGTCCTCGCAGACGGTTTTGAGGACAGTTCTACAGTTTAATCTATCCTCCGACTGTTCCTCCCTAGGACCATAGTCCAGGAGGTCCTTACAATTTCTTTGTTTACTTTTGATATTTCAGCCCCATTGTATTTTATTATTTTCTTGCTTTTATTTGATGTTTTATGTTTTATTTAATCTTTTTCTATTCATCCATTTAAATTGTGTCTAATTTGATATATCAAAGATTTGTGACATCGTGTTCTTATAATATATAGGGGTTAGAAAATTAGAGTTTGTGGAAAAACCTCAGTTCCTTTCCATTATTTTTGATACATTATTTATTGTTTTTTTTTATTTTAAAGTAAAATATTTAGGAGCAAAGCGAAGGAATTGGAAACCATAAATACAAATTTCCTCGAACAGGTGAAAATTAAACCTATCATGAAAAGAGGAAATTTAGTTTGTAAAATTAGAATTTTTTTTTTAGAAATTATTAATAGAATGTTAGCGATAGCTCACCCCTCTTGATTCAAACAAAATGCTAGGCTTGTAATATCGAATAATATGCGATTTTTAGACACCCCCCTGGCTCCCGCCCCTAGAATTTATCTTCTTCTTTGTCTTCTTTGTCTTCGTCCTTTTTTTTCTTTTTTCTCTTTTACTTCTAGATCTTCAATTGTAAAGGTTTTACTATATTTATCTCAGTTTACAGTTTACAGTTTACAGTTTATAGTTTACAGTTTACAGTTTACAGTTTACAGTTTATAGTTTACAGTTTACAGTTTACAGTTTACAGTTTACAGTTTACAGTTTATAGTTTACAGTTTACAGTTTACAGTTTACAGTTTACAGTTTATAGTTTACAGTTTACACAATCGAAATTTCAAGTTTACCCCTTGGCATCAAGGATGAACGCGAAATCCTTATTCTTCTATCTGAAAGTGTCTCACTTACAATTGTAATTTCTCTGATAAAGTTACCTGCGTATTCCCTACTGAAGAGACTTTAAAGAAAATTACCAGAATTTAACAACTTTTATAAATAGAAAAATCTTCCTCCTTTTTTACTTAGAAAGAAGAGGTGTTATTATTTACGTGTTTAGTCCCTTTATATTCTTTTATTGGCTAGATATCTGTACTAATGGATGAATTAAATGAGAGTAGAAGAAGGAACCAGGATTTAACCAAGAGGATGTATCTACTAGAAGCAGACATTGCAAACAGGTCTCAACGCTCTAAACTAATAACAAAGGAAATGAGTCTTTGTCACAAACTCTGATTTTCTAATTCCTATTGTTTTGCAACCCAATGTCGTGAAATCTCTTATATCAAATAATCTAAGTCTTAAATATCAAAGGTTTACAACATCAGGTTGTAAAGATATAAAGATTAGAAAGTTTTAGTTTGTGGCAAAGACTTAATTCCTCAAAGTAGATTTCGTTATATTGAAATTTTGTATATTTTCAAGTCTTAACTTCTGGAATTGAAGAGTTATTGTGAATATCAAAACCTTTAGAATTTCTATATTTCTACACCAGAAAACTATAAAATAGAAAAAAGATTTTAAGACTCCATTTATGACTTTAAATAGTGTAATGAACATGAGTAGTTTAAAGTGTAAACAGGCCCATTTGACTTAATAAGAAATTCAAAAGTTTACTGTTTACATCAAATACCTTTAATTATTATTTTTAATGTCGTCTTTTTATTCCATAGTTTTATATGGTTCTCACCGTGTGTGTATTATGTATATAAAACCATAGATAAATAGATAAACATAGATAGCTTAGGTACTCAAAATCACCAAAAATTGTACAGTCCGTGTTTTAATGGATTTTCTAATTATTAAACCACTCAGGAGTGAATTTTATCTTGAGAATATCAAATTATTTCACTGAGCAATATATCATATTGACTAGCGGGGGAAGTCAGGCAGCCATGAGCCACCACTATTTCCCCTTCCGTACGACCTTATTTATCTATTGCGGGCAAAACTACTTTTTTAAATGGTATATTTAAGGCCTTTAAAGTGTGATTTTTAAAAATCCAGCCGCGTCACGCAAATAAGCACATGAGAAGGACTAAACTAATCTAAATGTCTCTCTACAGAACTCATGTACACCACAAGTACTCAATGACACAAGAACAGCCAATGTTCACAACCGACCTAGTAAATCTATATAATAGGAATCTTTAAAACATCTCTGTACATTTATATCTTTCAAGATGAAAAATTTCGTCTTATCTATCTTTATCTATATTATAAAACGCTCCTAACTAAGCAGCACTACTGGAGTTAAATTTGTTCGTAAATTTAAAAGTTCCGAGATTATAATGGCCTCAGTTTAAAAGTTCCCGCGGAAATCAGCGTTAGTTAAAAGCGATAAGTAGTTGAACTACCTGGGGATAGTTGAACCACTTCTCTTCAACTTTAAACAGTGGACAAGTTAAGCAGGGGCGGACATAAGGATGCTGTAGGGTGGGGGGGGTAANACTGTTACTTGTAGAGGCAGCAAATGGAGTAACCCCTGCTATTCAGGGCCTGAAAATATGTTCAGGGGTAATTACCCCCAGGATTCTAGGGGGGTATTTACCCCCAGGATTCTAGGGGGGGGGGTAAATAACCCCAATAACCCCCCTTATGTCCGCCACTGGTTAAGGGGTTTAACTATGTATAGAACATCAATTATCAAATTAAGGCAATCATTTTCACTAAACATATTTAACTCCTTTAAATCGATTTACATTAGTTCCTTTAATGTAAAGGTTTCCATCTTGGAACTTTACATAATCCTAGTTTTTTATTGCAGAGTTTATAATCTTTCTCAAGCTGAGGAGCAAATACAAGATTTACAGGAACACGTTGGTCGTCTTCAATCAGGAAAGGTATTTAATGGACAGAAAAACAGAACATTTACAGGCAATAGGTCTCATCAAGAAAACTTGTTTCACTTTAAAATTAGAATTTAAAGATAAATATGAGAAAGAAATGTCTTTGTAATTGTAATTAAAAGGAACTGATTTGACCATAAACTCTAATTTTCTTATACACCTTATACACCAATATATTATAAAGTTAGAACTTTTGTGTTTCGAATCTCAGGATCAAGCATTGATTCTTGAATTTTAAAGTGCCTGGATTGGATATCTAGATCAAGGTTTAAGATTACTCCACACAAAAGTTTCGACCTATCATCATTAATGTAAATTTGATATTTCTAACTTTAAATATTTGATCTTGTAGAATTCATAATTTAAAATATTAAGGGTCTTCGACACAAGGTCGCACTCGCACAGATGCAGGGATTAGAAAATTAGTTCCTTGACTTAGAAGTATCTATTTATTAAAATTACAGAATGAGTCGGAATTGAAAATTGATCTGGAGAAATGTAAAGAAAGTATGAATACATTCGCAAGGTTAGATTATTTTAAACCTTTCTTATTTTTTGTTATTTTTATTAGTATTATTATTATTATCATTATTATCATTATTAATATTATTATCATTATTATTATGAAACAGGGTGAATGCTGACTGTAAGAATAAAATAGGAGAACTGAATCAATGTTTGAGAGAAAACAGTATCCTAGTTGCACAGGTATATGTAAATACTCTAAATACTGTTACTGTATATACATTATATTTATTGAGTTCCTAAAGGGGCTGTCAACGTATTTCAATCAACCTTCCATTTATAAAGTGACATAATGATAAGAATAATGTCTTTTTTATATTTTAACCCTATAAAGGCTGGGGGGTCTGAATCTTACTGCAGCCTGGGGGGAAGAGTAAAGATATAAGGTTTCAATGCATGTTTATAGCCCAATTTTATAAAGCCAGCTTATTAAAAAAACATCAGACCGCTTACTTGTTGCATGCTAGGGAGGTTGGATAAAATGTCAAAAAAAACTCGGAAAATGTAAAGTATACATTTTTTGTTTTTGACAAATTTTATGATGTGACATTTGGTTTTACATCCAATTTTTCAAGGGCTTTTAAAAAATGTAGATTTTAGAATTTTATCACAAAATAAGTTTAAGGCTATTATAAACTTTTTTACGGACTGGCTTTTTTAATGTCCTGTACCCTAACCTTTGCATTAAAAAATGTTTACAAAAAATTCATTAAATTATTATTCTTTAAAAGTCAAAAATTTCAAGGTGATTGTGGCAAAAATGAGAGTGCTAGGCCAAAAAACTAGAAATTAAAAAACAGAGAATATTTTGTCCATCCTTATTCTGACAAAGGTTTAATGGGTACTGTTGTGAATCATGGAACGGATATTTACAGCGTTCAGTCCGTTTCCGCAATAGTGCCTTATAGCACGTTAGCATGCAATCTTGCATGTTTTCAATCATTGTTTTCTTTAATGAAAAGCTATTAAGAAGAACAATAATGTTTTTGCTTAAAATCCAAATTAGAGGAACTACGAGGTCACAAAGTCATATTAGTAATGTTGCATAGGTTTGACCTTCTTTTTTTGTCTATAGCAAAGACTTTATGTTTATAACTTACATTTTTACAGAATACTGAAGCCGTGGTTACTCCTGAGGACAAAGGAAGTTAGTGATTGTTTGCATAATTACATTAAAAAAATATTTTTTTGTGAAATATTTTACATTTGCATAATATTTCAATAAACGTATTAATTTTTGTTTAAATATAAATTTTCTTCCAGACATTTCTTCTTCTGAATCAGATCGTCTAAGGATATCTATAAACCCACAAGAGAAAGTTAAGGTTATTAATTTTTTAAATTTATTAAACCAATCCTGCTTCTTATGTTTTAAAGTTATATGTGTTTTGGTAAAACATACCCCAATGATCTACATATAAAAATATGACAGCAATAGATTATTAATTTTCAGATAGATAACTAAGATTTTCCCTACACATCTGTAAATTGTTGTGGGCAAAAATGATTATACTTAAAATCACGCTGACAGAACACACATAGGATGTTTGTTTCCAGGATCAGCTGATTCTTCAGCTGCGCGAGGATCTAGAAACCTGTCTCTGGTCCAAACCAAACCAAATACGTTCAGGTCAAATCAAACCAAATGCTTGTAGTTTAAATAAAAGTGAATAATTCCAGATCAAACCTAATCTTAACTATGAATACTTGTAAGTTGTAAGACGAAACCAAACTTAGTCAACATAATTACTATGTATTATGAAAGCAGGAAACACAAATACTTTCTAAGTATTAGAAAACTTAAACAAGATTATTTGGCATTAAGTAAATCGATTTTTTTACCAAAGGCCTGTTCAAAAAATTCAAATGTGCCAACAATTAAATTCTAAGCATAAATTCTTCATAAATCATGAAATTAAACTTTTATAGTAACAGTGGAACAGACTTCAAACGAAGATTGTGCTTCCCCCTGTACCATCACAAGGGGAGTACTGCTATTCAGGGCCTGAAAATATGTTCAGGGGTAATTACCCCCAGGATTCTAGGGGGGTATTTACCCCCAGGATTCTAGGGGGGGGGGTAAATAACCCCAATAACCCCCCTTATGTCCGCCACTGGTTAAGGGGTTTAACTATGTATAGAACATCAATTATCAAATTAAGGCAATGTATTGTAAACAGATTGTAAACAGTGCATTACACTGATAAACTTATCTAACATGATAGGGGGGTATCCCAGTCTATTTTTTTACCTTTTTTGATGGATGACATTTTCAGGAGTAGTGAACCAAAAGTTTGAAGATCTTAAGAGCGGGGATGTTATCAGAAATTTAACTGAACAAAATCAAAAATTGCAACAGGTGAAAACAAATTATGCATGAAGGTTGATGAAGTTTAGATGAAGTAATATACATGGATTCAGAGTCCAGACTGCTATGAAAAATTGTATCAATTTTAAGACTTGATCGACTTTGAAGTGTCGCAACGCCTTCGTCTTTAATTTTACCTTACAAGCTTACTTACAATTTTGTTGTGGCACTGAACCTGGACATTTTAGAACTATATAAGTATTTAACTTCAACTTTAATATTGAAGAAAATGGGCAAAATTCTCATCGATTTTTACGTGATAACATGGAACCTTTGGATCAATGTAAAATAATCCCATACATTGTTAGATAACTTTACTTGTATAATAATTTGCTAACTCTTGAGAAATTAATTATCAAAAAAAATTGATTAAAAAATTATTAAAAATTATGTGATGCAATTGTATAGAAAATAAAAATGATAAAACTATCGTTCCTCGCCTGGCATTGTTAATTTCTTTTAGAAAAATTTCTAATATTGTTTTTTTGAATTTGTAGTTTTTAGGAGGTTAGAGATCTACAAGAACAATCCAACCCTGAAATAAGTTCTGCAGAAAACAAAACCTTAGTTCAAATATATGAGAGTGAATCCATTGAGAAGGATGGAAATGAGAGTTTTGCAAGAATAGCTGATACAGTGACTAAAGTTGTTGATATTGTTAAACTATTTGAGAAATCTGATCAACTACCTAGCAGGTTTAAAACCAGTAATGGGGAAAAATGATGTTTTAGTGTGATTACTCTAATATGAAAAATACTACTTTCAGAATAAAAAGGTTACTGTAATAATACTTTATTAAATGACATAATAATCAAACATATACAGTTTATAAAAGTAAAGAACAAAAAAATGCCAGAAATAATTTTGCTATAATTTTTGCTTGCATTTAGTTTACAGGCCGTAAAACGGGTTGGATTTTGGATGTATGCGTTTTTAATATGAAGTCTTATGTGCAGTGAGAACCAGGAAACTAAGATATGAATGTCGTCGTTGTTCTTCCTTATACTTATGTATTTTGAAATTGTTGTTGCTATATCTCTTAAAATGGTCGGGGCACTATTTTAGAAATAGTTTAGCTGCGTTACTAGTCTGTAGTCACAACATCCGGAGTATATTTCACTGAAAAAAGAAGAAAAAAGAATTCAAGTGTTTTCTGGTTTTCACTATTCAAAATTTTCTTATTACTGATCTAGGATATTTTGTTTTCTATTTAATTAAACCCTGCACAGTGTATGGTGCACTGTGCAAACTGACAAAATATAATTTCTGAAAGATAATTTAACAATTTAGTGAAAGCAGGTTTCTTATTTGGGACTTTTTTCCCATGTAGCTCAATCTATTAAAAACTAGGCTTTTAGGGCGCTTCGCGTCCGTCTTCAATTTCAATTGTGAACATGTTCTCTTTGTATACATTGTAAAACAAAAACAAAACAAAAATTTCGTGAATTTTCAAAATTTTGCAAAATAGAATTTTGATGGAGGCAAAGTTTTGAAAGTTCGATAATCCATAAACCTTCCTTGGGGTCACACGAGGTCCCACAAAAAAATTGGGCCCGATCGGTTCAGCCGTTTTGACGTTTATTGTATACAAAAGGACAGACAGAGACAAGCAAAGTAAATAGATAGATAGATTAAGGGACAGTTATTAATCTGAAATAAGAAAATCCCTGGGAAATAATATAATTAAGTACAATAAAACCAAAATGGTTGAAAACAAAATATAATAATAAGTATTATTCTATTGCGCATCTGAAACCTTAGTTCCAAACAGCTGAAATCCGTCGATATAAGATCGGTAGTAATCTGGGGAACCTTGGGTATTCTGAAATAAACAATATTAAAATAAAAAAGATTTTTTATTTAATACATTGATAACCAAAAACTCTAAAATGAATGACGACTTATAGAATAAAGTTGTGACTTTTAAAGGAAAAAGCATAAGACATTGCAATGGTGCAGTGCAAATAGACCCATTTCACTAAACTATAGTGTCTAGTAAAACCATTTTCATTGTAACAACATAAAATAAGTTTCCAAAAACATTATTTTCTTAGGTTTTTTTATACTTCTTTGTTATGTTAAAAAAGGACGAGAAAAACAGAAAACAAAATTTAAAATAAATAAAATGTTTGAGGAAATGTTTTGAAACAGTTTGAGAAAATGGATGCTAAAAATAACTTACGAGCATGTCAAGTTCCTTCATTTTTCTAATATAATCTGTGAAAAACAGTTTTCTCTCCTCCCCCTAGAACAGCAAAATTAAACAATCTTTCAAAATGACCTTGATGTTAAGAATGAGTCATTTGCGCATTTTTGCATTAAGAAAAATGGCGCGTACTCTGAAACCAGACTTACGAAATTACACAGGTCTGAATATGAATCCTGCCTGTATTTCTGGAAAAGCTGTGAGTATAGTTGATCTGAAGTAATTTTTGATAAAATCCTTGTGAAGAACGTATCCAAGGGGAAGAGAACGGGACTCTTGAACCTGAAATATATTTTAAGTTTTTTAAACAGTACTCCTCTTCACTTTGAAGTAGAACCGGTGTTTGTAAACAATACATTCACTTGCGTAACAATTTAAGAGGTTAAAAACTCTAAGTGACCTGCAAGGGACTATAAGTAGCATATCTGATTTACAACGGTAACCTTTAAATATTTTCGTGGTCAATGATTTTTGAGAAATTTCTCATTTTCTAGCTAAAAATTGATAATATTCAATTGTTGTTTCTTTTTGATTTCATAGATTTGATAGAGGTTTAAAGATTATAGTTGTAAATCAGACTTGACTCTTATTTAACATGTTGTTCACTTAAAATTATGTCTACACTATATACAGTCCCTTTCTGCAACAAATATTTACATTTTATGTTTTTCGTCGATATTTAGAATTAAAACCAATAATTTTTTTCTGCAAATTGCATTTATCAAATTTTTAGGTAAGTAAGTAATTATCTATTTATGAAATATAACAAAAACATACAAAATTAAGTGTTTAAGGAGAAAATATTTGGAAACCTCGAAAAAGAGGTTGTGGGAATATTTCCCCCAATTCTAAAAAAATATAAAAATAGAAATAAAAGGAAAAGGAAAGGAAAGGAAAAGGAAAGTTACATATTTTTGTTTACATTATACTAAATATAGACTAGTGGTGGATTGTTAATATTTTTAGACGATGAACTAACAAACAACTTTAAGAAAAAAAAAATTAATAGATTTATTTGTAATGTTTAAAAAAATAGACTTTATAACTTGTGGTAAAGATATAGGTTTTACTCAAAATGGGCATTTTCAGCATCTTTTTAATTCGCGCAGATTTTTGACAATCTTTAAGCTTGATTATTAAATCTTTTATTCTTTTTAATCTTTTTTAGACTTTTTTAGTATAGTCTTTGTTAAAAAAAAGAAGGAACAGTTTTACCTTAAACCCGTTGCTTTCCATCAGCTTGACAAAATCTTTCTCAATTATAGGTCCTTAACATAAATTCAATACATAATAGACTATAGGTCCTTAACATAAATTCAATACATAATAGACTATAGGTCCTAAACATACATTCAATATATAATAGACTATAGGTCCTAAACATACATTCAATACATAATAGACTATAGGTCCTAAACATACATTCAAAACATAATGGATTATAGGTCCTAAACATGGATTCAAATACATAATAGACTATAGGTCCTAAACATACATTCAATACATAATGGACAATAGGTCCTAAACATACATTCAAAACATAATGGATTATAGGTCCTAAACATGGATTCAAAACATAATGGATTATAGGTCCTAAACATACATTCAATGCATAATGGACTATAGGTCCTAAACATACATTCAATACATAATAGACTATAGGTCCTAAGCATACATTCAAAACAAAATGGTTTAGTGGTCCTAAACATACATTCAAAACATAATGGACTACATAAGTCCTATAAAATATAATAGATTATAAGTCCTAAACATACATTCAAAACATAACGGATTTTAAATTCTTAATATTATAGAGACAAAAATAAATCTAGAATAAAGCATTCATAAGTTTTTATATCGATTTAGAAACTGTAAAAAAGAAAACAATTATAAATTCCACGTTTAAAATGAAAACTGTGATTTTTTTAGCAAAATGCACCTGCAGGGTTTTTAGGATAGTTCTGAGAAATCTTAGGATTGAGTTTAATGAATTTAAAATGCCTACCACCGGGGTTCGATTCACCCATTTAAATACTTTCTGAATGTTTAATTTTGAATCGGTGGTTCAAAAATAGAACCGGCAGTAGGAGCGACGTTGCTCAATTTCATTAAATTAAATTCAAAATATTCGGGTATGATATACGCTTTGAAAAGAATAAATCCTTTAAAGAAATGAAAACTTACCAGATCCTTGTTTATCTACAGTACTCATCCAACTGTTGTTTATGTGTGTTGTTTTAAAATGTGGCCAACTGGGTAGAAAAAAAATTTTAAAAATGTAGAAAAAAGGTTTTTTTTCAACAACAAAAATGTATAGGCTTATGTATTGGTATGAACAGCATAAAAATTAAAAATATCTCTTGAAATGTTAAAACGCTTAATTAGCAATTAAAGTGTAATATTAAAAAATCAATATTTGAAAAGAGAATAGTATGAGGACCAACATTTTTAAAGTTAGAATAAAATTTTCACCTTGTGTTTTTTAGCAGTTTTGCCCATTTTCCATTTAATTTCATTGAATCGTAAACACTACGCTGAATATTGTCCTAAAACATTACAAATGTAAAAATATCATTTTTTATCCACCCCCCCCTCCCCCCTCACAGGAAACAGTTTGCTACGTCCTGTATTAAAGTAATATAAGGGTCTTCAAAAAACACAAGCATCTTTTCTCAAGTAAAGTTTTAGCTAAACAGCTGAAACTGTTTATATCGAGAACTTTCAGTCTTGGGGTTTCCAAAATGTGGTCCTTCCTGTTAAAATTTGTAAAATTGACGTAGGTATTCAGAGCTTTATAGAATTTGTATAAATATCTATTTTTTCATGCAGTTTTTTGGATTAAAAAGTTATATGTGTCACAGTTTAGAAAGAGAAACTGCTTATTTTTTAAAGCACACATTTCTATAAAACTCAAAATCAGAGACGATATCAAAGTCGTCTTTTAATTTATTTGACCGGCTATGTAAGGTAGTTGAACTGAGTATGCAGTGTCGTGGAAAACTTCTTTCGGATTCATTGGAGGCATATTAAACTTTTTAAAGATCTGTAAATCCCGAGTTTGAGCGCAAATTTGACGTTCAAAACTCTTACTTTGGGGGTAGATAGGTTTTCAGAATTAGTTTTTTTTTTAAATTATTAAATAACAACGACATAAAACGTAAAAAAGTTCCACAATAAACTACAGAAGTTTCCACAACAATGCATACTTAGTTCAACTACCTTACATAGCCGGTCACTCCCTTTATGTATGGCGGAAAAAAAGGTTTCTGTGAAGGGGGGGGGGGTTATAAAGGATTGAGATAAACAATGTATTTTTAAATTAATAATCTTACCCTGGGATTGTGAGTGGAAGCAATAACAAAGTTGAAAAGTCCTCCTTTCTTTAACACTTTGTTAAAAAACGAGACTGCAGCGGGCTAAACAATTTCTTATATATATATAACATTTCTTGTAAGAAATCCTTCACAATTAATTATAAATTATACTTAAAGTGTATATAATTATTTAATTAAAAATTTTCCCTAAAAATGATACCATTGATTCACATTGCTATCCAATCAAACAATGTGTCAGATGTTCCTACGAAGCAAAAAAGAGAAATTGCCTGATTGGGTACCCAGTGCAGACAGGAGAAAGAGGTTACAAGATCGAATTGTCCTTCTTGCTCGGCGGCAAAAGCCTATAAAATTACGTAAGTACTCTTATTTGCAGAAAAATCTGATAGGAATACAAATAATTAGCTATTTACGCGAACCGGGTTTTCCATTGGGGTGTATTTATTTATTAAACTTATTATTAATTAAATTTTTCCCCTCACAACAAAATATTTACTAACTCGATTTAAACTTTTTGGTATTTCATCTTGAAATGTTGCCATACAACTTTTTTTTGAAAACCATATCAGATTTTCGCGAAGCCTCCTTTAAGGGTCTGTAATATCAAGTGGTACCCTCCAAGCTAAGATGACAGTGCCGGATTCACAACGGTACCCTTAAAAGCTTTGTCTAAATAAGTATAATAATATATCTATGTTTTTAATTTTGAGATTTGATTATTTTTAAATGTGGTATCTCACAAAATTGACTTCCGCATATCTGCTCTAAGAAAATGAGGTAAGAATGATCAGAATTATCTCTCTACAAAAGTGACTTGGTCATTTCTACTGCAGGCAAGAAGCACATTTATGAAGTATCAAAATTAAACACTTTTAAATCTAAAACTATAAAAACTTCAATATTTTCTCATTACTGAACAGATATAGGTTTTAATGGAACCGTTGTGAATCGTGTTACCTGACAAACCCTTGTTTCTACATCCAGCTGTTGGAACTTTAGGTTTGGAGTTGTGTGAAGAAGTTTACAGTGATCTATCATTTCCTAGAAAATAAAACAACAAGTTTCGACTTTAAAAATGTCGTCTTTTTGGTACCAACAATAGATGAAACTTCAGAGACGACTGTGCGAATTTTGTTTTCCCTTTTCTTTGTAGAAACCCCGTACTTCCCTGATTCAAACTTGGAAAATGAAAAATTTTACTAAAAAACTTTTTACGGTATTTTTCATAGAAAATTCACCCCCCTAGAGTGACCTGAGTGACCTCTAGAAAAACGTACATTTGAGAAATTGTGACTTTATGCCACTTACTTTTGGAAAAGAACTAAAGACTCACCAGTTGCCATAAATCAAAACTTACTAATTCTTTTTTCCCCCTAATGTCTTACTTGAGATATGTCTACTCCTAGAATCTGGTTTACTAGGGATATGTCTACTCCTAGAACCTGAGATTTATCTACTCCTAGAACTTGGTTTACCTGGGATATGTCTACTCCTAGAATCTGGTTTACTAGGGATATGTCTACTCCTAGAACCTGGTTTACTAGGGATATGTCTACTCCTAGAACCTAAGATTTATCTACTCCTAGAACTTGGTTTACTAGGGAATATATCTACTCCTAGAACCTGGTTTACCTGGAATATATCTACTCCTAGAACCTGGTTTACCTGGGATATATCTACTCCTAGAACCTGGTTTACCTGGGATATATCTACTTCTAGAACCTGGTTTACCAGGGAATATATCTACTCCTAGAACCTGGTTTACCTGGAATATATCTACTCCTAGAACCTAGTTTACCTGGGATATATCTACTCCTAGAACCTGGCCAGGTTTACCAAGGTTACCCAGCTCCCCTAAAAAAGAATTAATTATATCGAAGACATTTATTTTGAAATAAGTTTATGCTGATTTTTATTAATTTAAAAATAACCCAAGAAATTTATTATTTTAATAAAATTTTTGGAACATTTATTTTTTTTCTACAAAAAGAATAAGAAAGTTTCATCACACTTAGGGAAAGGGCCAATTATGAAATTTAAAAAAGGATAAATAATTAGTTAAAGAGAACTTTAAAAAATAAAATCTCCAAATATCTTTTTTGCTAAATCTAGTTTAAACCTGACCTGCAGCTAGTGCTACTGTTGTTTCTCCAGTCCCGCACCCAAAATCTAGAACCTGAATAATAATAATCTTTAAAGGAATTGTCAAATTAATTTTATGACGGCAAATAGATATAAATGTTACCTGAGCTAATCTAGAAAGAGAACTTAACCCTGTACCTTATCCTTTGTTGAGATAGAAGAACTTAACAAACCCTGTGCCTTATCCTTTGTTGAGATAGAAGAACTTATTCAACCAATCCTGTACCTTATCCTTTGTTGAGATAGATGAACTTATTCAACCAACCCTGTACCTTATCATTTGTTAAGATAGATGAACTTATTCAACCAACCCTGTACCTTATCCTTTGTTGAGATAGGAGAACTTATTCAACCAACCCTGTACCTTATCCTTTGTTGAGATAGAAGAACTTATTCAACCAACCCTGTACCTTATCCTTTGTTGAGATAGAAGAACTTATTCAACCAACCCTGTACCTTATCCTTTGTTGAGATAGAAGAACTTATTCAACCAACCCTGTACCTTATCCTTTGTTGAGATAGAAGAACTTATTCAACCAACCCTGTACCTTTTCCTTTGTTGAGATAGGAGAACTTATTCAACCAACCCTGTACCTTATCCTTTGTTGAGATAGAAGAACTTAACCAACCCTGTACCTTATCCTTTGTTGAGATAGAAGAACTTAACCAACCCTGTACCTTATCCTTTGTTGAGATAGAAGAACTTAACCAACCCTGTACCTTATCCTTTGTTGAGATAGAAGAACTTAACCAACCCTGTACCTTATCCTTTGTTGAGATAGAAGAACTTAACCAACCCTGTACCTTATCCTTTGTTGAGATAGAAGAACTTAACCAACCCTGTACCTTATCCTTTGTTGAGATAGAAGAACTTAACCAACCCTGTACCTTATCCTTTGTTGAGATAGAAGAACTTAACCAACCCTGTACCTTATCCTTTGTTGAGATAGAAGAACTTAACAAACCCTGTACCTTATCCTTTGTTGAGATAGAAGAACTTAACAAACCCTGTGCCTTATCCTTTGTTGAGATAGAAGAACTTATTCAACCAACCCTGTACCTTATCCTTTGTTGAGATGGAAGAACTTATTCAACCGACCCCTGTACTTATCCTTCGTTCAGATAGAGGAACTTATTCAACAAACCCTGTGCCTTATCCTTTGTTAAGATAGAAGAACTTATTCAACTAACCCTGTACCTTATCCTTTGTTAAGATAGAAGAACTTATTCAACTAACCCTGTACCTTATCCTTTGTTGAGATAGAAGAACTTATATAACCAACCCTGTGCCTTATCCTTTGTTGAGATAGAAGATCTTATTCAACCAACCCCTGTACTTATCCTTCGTTCAGATAGAGGAACTCATTTAACCAACCCCTGTACCTTATCCTTTGTTAAGATAGAAAACTTATCCAACCCCCTGTACCTTATCTTTAGCTGAGAGAGGAGGGAAGAACTTAACCATCTGGTTGACAGCGTTAGTGTTGATTGTGAAGTGTGCTTTACTGCTCTGTGAGTACTGATGAGGAGTCACAAACCTCATGGCTGTTCTATATATTGTAAAAATATAAAAATATATATGTTCATGAATATTGTTGTAGTTTCATGTGATCCTCCATGCAAGGAAGGGAAAGTAAGATATACAACAATACTAATTAAACCTTAAACTGATCATCGAAGGAAGAAAACTCCGTGTTTTTATCTCTAAAAACTAAAAAGGTGTTAAAATTGTAGGAAAACTAGCGTTACAACAGCAATGAGAATGTGAAATCTAAGGCGAAACAATGGAATTGTAAATAAATAAAAATTATCGCTGCAACCTTTTAATTTTTCATGGTATTTAATTAACAAATTAAATTAAAGACCTGTCCCTAACTTTAACATATTTGGCACAATGACGAACACACATTTAAATACACACTAAAAATCATTGATTGTGAACTAACTGTTAGGAAATATTCTGTATTAAATATAAATACAATACCTTAATCCTGAAGTCGTCTTCATCCTGTAACGTTGCTGCAAACACTTGTTTATAATTAAATAAAAATCTCTTTGATAATCTGAAATATCAGGTTTTAGTCAGAAAAAAATTAAATATTATTGTTTGCTAAATAATTATATATATATGGACAGCAGGCAGTTTATTTAAAAGCAAGATCCACAGGGATTTACGCAGCTTTAGTATAAGGCGTCATCTAAAGAGGCCGATCTGACTTTGAAATGTTGCAAGTCAAGTTTATTTCCCTGGTTTTAATTAATATTTAAGTTTTTTTAACATTTAAGGTTTTCTATTTTTTTTTGAACTGCTCGCTCTACAGGGATTTACAACGTTCCACATAATCCAAAATTTTATTTTCTATCAGGTTATATTTATTTACATTTTTAATCATGGAAAAGATAAAATTTTGATGAATCAATATCAATTGGTTTCTAACGAGTAATATGAAAAATAACGGTCATATACTTTTGACAGAGTGAATATTTTGAACTATTTTTAAAGCAAACTTGTATTGAAAGAAATACAGTGAAACCCTTAATAACGAATACATCGAAAGAATTCATCAAATGTCGTATTCTTCACTTTCTAATAATGGAATGTTGCAGATATTTAGTTTTTTAATTAAATGATTACATGAAACTCTTTAAAACTGTTCCCACATATTCATGGCTATTTATTTATTTTCGCAAATACTGAAATTTACCAAATATAGTATAAAACTCATTGAAAAATTGTCAAGACGACATTTGATAAATTCTTCCGATGTATTCGTTATTAAGGGTTTCACTGTACAATTTTGAAATTACAGATTATTGAGAAGCGTCCTTAAATCCTCAAAATCCTAAATATTTTAAAAACGTATACATCGATAGAAAGCTCAGAGATCCTCTGCAGCCATAATGACAAATGTGCAACATTATAAAGACTGGGTTGTGTATAAAGTGTTTCAACGCCTTGGCATTTACCTTGCCAGCACAAGTATTCACTTTTGTACCTTTAGACCACTTAAACTAACTTGAAGAAAGTGGATCCTGCTCAGTAAACAGTATAAAATATTGTTAGAGACCTTTAACACTTAAATATTTAAAACTTTTAGCTCAACAAAAAAGTCTAACATGAACTATACCAAAAATCTACCTTTAATGGGTAAAAATAAGTTCTAAAGTTATGATTCACTGTTTGTTTTTTATCCAGGCCCTCTAATTTACCGTGAGACTACAAGTTTAAGTATGAGCGTGCAAACATTTTTGATCACTGTAACAGAAAAAGTAAATACAGCTCATTAATTCCAATACAAATACTTTGTTTGCAGTAAAGCCTGTATGATAACCCTGTCACAGGACTAGGTTTATGCTTATATATGTATATTGTATCCCTGTTTGTTAGTTTGTTTATAAGTACCTCATGAACCCCTTGACTGATTTGTCTCAAATTTTGATTGTGTAGCCTGTTAGAACCACAGGAATATGTTCTTAGCTTGGTTTATAAATTCAAGTTTAGTAGTTGAATTTAATAGAGAAAACTGAAAAGCTTGTATAATGAGCTTGTCACAGGACTATATACTGTTATATACTGAGTACCCAGTGAACCCTGGAGGGTCTACTCAAACTAACTATTCAACTCTTATCTTATTCTTAAACCTGTTTCTGAATCCTTCTCAGTTTAAACAACAATATACAAATACAGGCTAATCATGATTCCACCATAGTAGGGATATTAGTTTGACTTTTAATATAATAATAATAATATTAATAATAGTAATACTAATAATAATAGTAAAAATAATGGTGATGATGATGATGATAATGATGATGATGATGATGATATTATAATAATAATTTCAATATCCAGGATGATGAAAATGATGTAACAAGAACCATTTGAAATAAGAAAAACTATACATGTATTTTAAATTTAAGTTCTAGTTGCAATTGGTGCAGATTCACAAAGGTACCCTTGAAACCTTTCACTAATGAAGGATTTAAGAGATAGTTATACTTTTTTCTATGAAATTTAATTATCTTAACCGTGGTTTCTCCACAAATGACTTCTGGATTTTGGCTGCAGAATCAATGCAAGAAATTAGCATAATTAATACATGACTTAGGGTACTCGGAATTAAGATTACAATTTACAGCCCTAAGAAGTGTTCTCTATTGAACACTTTTAATTTTAAAAAATTTCCCAAAAATATTGAAAAACACTATACAGGAGATCATTGCATCACAAATAGAGGTAAAATTTTGCAGCAGACGCCGCTAATCACACTTTATCTTGACTCATCCTGTATTTTAAATAAAACCTTATTAAAACTAAAAGGCGATTATATCACATATAATGGACGATAGGATAGGATAGGATACACATATTTAACTGATTAAAATATTCACTATTGTAGTTTATTTAAAAACAAGTGTTTTGAAGTAAAAAACATTTTCTTAGAACAATACCAGATAAGAAAAGGGCGGGGGGAAGGGGTTATTTTGACCTTAAATATTAATAATTTACACATGTTTAGTTGTATATCTGAATTCAAAAAGTAAGTTTTAAAAATCAAGAAGTACGCCAAAAATTGTACACGTATTAATTAAAGACTCTCGATATATATAAATAGATCGAGGGTCTTTGCGTATAACTAACGATGTCCCACGAAACATGATTGTTGGTGAATAGTAAAAAATGTCTTCTTCCATAATTTAATAAGTTGATTAATAACAAATTGGGAATAATAAAGATATATTATGGTATTCATTACAGAAAAAATGATTTCAGCGTAAAATAAATTTGAGTAAACGATTTTTTTAACGAAATAAACTGCAAAAAGCCTGTAAAATATTATACTTTAAACAAAAGAAAACATTCAAAACTGTCATGTTTCGTGGGACACCTTGTAACTAAACGTTAAATCAAAAAAAGTGTAAAGCTGAAAAAATGAAAATGCATCCAATACATGCGTATAAAACTTTGAAGGAAGAGAAAATAAAAATGTGAAAATATAAAGATTTGTTTTCCAACAGAAAAGTATAGTTAACCTCTAGTCAAAAGACTGCATGCTTAGATAGAAAGAAAAATGTGTATTTTATTTGCTTCTTTAGACCAAACTGGACCATAGATTGGAACTTTTGTGGATGACATACAAACTTAAATCTTTTATTTGCACAATTCTTGGAAGTAAAGAATATTAAAAGCATAGGATATAAAAAGAAATTATCCATTAAACAATGAGCAAATTTTCCATAACTAACCAATTTCTGATTTTACCAATTGAAAATCTTAAAACATTACTCTCATTTTAAAGTAATTTCCTATAGAGGAGGCTATCTCCCTATAACCCCCCACCCCGATCACCATGAGAGCAATAGTTGCGCCCATGATTGGTCTTACCAAAGAGAATAGAATATATTCTTTTCTCTTTGGTTCTTACACAAAGATGTCGCTCTTTGATCTCATCAGTAAATATCTTTAATTTATTTTTTAGGATGATAGCTGAAATATTTTACTATTTTACACTAAGAGGGAGAAGATGTTACTTTTTAAAATCTCCATATTTCTAACTATCAAATATTTAGGAAAAGCTACTCTGCAAAACTTTGAAAATTTTTTGTCTTCGTTATTCTTATTTCTAGTTCTGCACAGGCTGATATTTTCGTAAAATTTTCTTGTCGTCATGTCCCCTTTCTTGTACGTTAAGATCCTTAATAAATCTAATTTGGAATTTTTATCTATTAAACTGGGTAGTGTAGGGGTAGTAATCTCTGCTATTCAGGAGTAATTACCTCCAGG